TAATAATCTTACTTCATGTGTAGAGATATTAAATACCAATTTAGGTCAAAAACTCATGTTTTTGGATTTCAATTTAATCATTTAAATTAAATACCTTAAACTAAAGTGAAGAGTATTATGTATATTAATTTTTTCAAATTCCTTCTAAAACGTCTTATTTAATTTCTAAATAATCTACAAAACATGATAGCATTATTCTACATTATTTTCCATCCAAAAGGAATTTAATTATAATATATTCAATTTAATTAGAAAATAATAAATATATTTATTAAATCATTAAATATTGATTTAATGCCATTATTTTTATAAAAATTCCATAGGCTAGAAATCCATTTAATTAACTCAACTAACTTTAATAGACTCATTTAGACCTTTAATTAGAGTTTTGACGATTCAAAACATTTTTTGGACTTATGAAACTAAACTTTGTTTCCAAATTTATTTGAATTAGCCTATTAAATTCATTTATTCATTAACCATTAAATTCTATTTAATGTCTTAACCTTTTTAACCATTTTTACCTTAGCATTTTAATTCCATACTCTTTACCATTAAGACCTTAGCTATTAAATCCATTAACCATTTAATTAACGGTTCCATTTAACCTCAAATTAATCCCATTACTTACTATATTAATTCTTTAAGTCCAATTTAATTAATTAAGTAGTCAATTAATTTCTTAAGCTACAAACTAAGCAATTATAAACATAAAAATACTATTTAATTCTCAACACAAAATTCATCAAATACAAACCATAATTTTCTTAACCTAATATCCATTTCTAAATCTGAAAATAAGTTAAGTAAAGGTAAAAACTCCCTCACTCATTTTACATAATTAAGTACACAATACAGCAAGTCGATCCTCCTCTTCGCCGATGGTCATTTTCTAACCTTTTATCACCTACATCACAAGAAATTAAGTGAGTGTTGCTCGGTAAGTGTAATTCATACATGAATGCATGTAATGTATGTGAAGCATTTAAAAACTATTTTCAAGCCTTTTGAAATTTATTTTCCTCCTCGAGTGCACCCCGTCGATTGTGTATATAATCGGCTTTCTTTTAAAACATACAATTTGTGAAAAATTATAAAAAAACACTAGATATTTTTCTTTTTTCTCATCATTTTCTTTTGGAAAGAACAATATAAATGACATTTCTCATTATTCCCTTTCGAAAAGAACCCTTTTCTTTTTCCTCACGAGTGGTTAATCAATTCAACCCGCATAACAAAAAGTTTCCATTTTCTTTTCCTCTTGAAGTTGTCTAGCCATTTCATCTTGAAAACACCTCCTTTTCCTTTTTCTTTTCATTAATCCCTTTCAAGGTCATGATATGTAAATGCATTTTAATAAAATGTATTCTTTTACCTTTTCCTCAATCAAGCATGCTTAACTTACTAAAGTACATGTAAATAAATTTTCATACATAACATATACCAATTAAACTAAAGAATGCACATTCACAATCAAAGAACATGTAACATAAACAATTAATCAATTGCATGTTCTAAACTATCAAAGTAAGCATAAAATAATTAGTATACCATAAACATTAACAATTTCTTAAAAACACATAATGATCGAATTATTCAAGCAATTCAACCAACATATTTTCAATAGATAATTAATCATTTTTCATGTCATTTTATCCTTTTAAACCTTAAAAAAATCATCAAACATCAATCAAACCACATTTTTTTCTTTTTCTTGGTATTAGGCCAAAATTTGGCCAATGGAAAACTAACTTTCATTTGGTCATTTTAACTCAAATTTTTATATCTATACCATCAATTAAGTATTTATTCATCAATTCTATAATCATTAAATCACTTAAAAAATAAATCTAATTCTTTAATTTGGCTGAAATTACCCATCTATATAGCAAAATCTGAATTTTCCAATCTAATACCACAAAACACACCTAATTCATTCCATCAAACACCTTGTATACATTAATCACCTAAATCCAACCATAATTTTTCCTAAAAATTAGGGTTTGAACCAAAAATTTAGATGATCATAACACCATCAAAATTTCATTCAATCAAGCCAACCAAACTCCAAACATATCAATCACAATACAAAAAACACAATCCCATCATCAAATCCATCTAAATCAAACAGTTGACATAATAACTCCAACAATTGAAGTATCAAACCATAATCAAAATAAACATCAAAGCATAAGTTTCTTGTGGTACAGATGAGGATACACTTACCTCGCTTAAAGCTTGATCAATCCTTCATTCTTTTAGATTGAAATCCTTCCTTTTTCTTCCTCCACCACGTTTCGATCCAATCCTTTTTTTTCTATTTCTTTTTTTTTTTTTTTTGCTCTAATCTAGTTCTAGGGTGATTTTAGGATGTTTTTAGGGTGGCTAATGTGGTTTCAAGTGTTAGTTTGGTGAGTTTTCTCTTGGTTTCACTTGATCTCACCTTGGTGTAACCTTGAATTTTTCAAGTTTTTAAGCTCTTTTCATCCTTTTTTTCGCCATATTTATAGCCAAGGTTTTTTCTTAAGATTAAGCCAAGTGTATCATACTTGATTTGATCTTAAACTATGGCAATTAATGAGTCTAGATTTTTCTTCTTCATTCTCTTTTCTTCTATTTTTCTTGATTTTTTAAAGATATTTTTCTCTTCTTTCTTCCTCCTTATGCCGACCTAACCATCCGATTTTTCTCTCCATTTTTTAGATTATTCTTGCTAGAATTAATCTCCAAAACTCGAATAAATTAGTCCCCCATATTACCATGATTTTATATTTTAGTCCCTAAATTTTTAATTCTTACAATCAACCCCTCCAATTTCAGTCCAAAACCTCACAATTTCCCATAATATAACTCTTATTCTAGACTTTTTCAAAAGCAATCAATGACCCTAAAGTTGCTTAATCATTTAAATCAAGTACTCAAACTTTTAATTGTTTCAATTACGCCTCTACATTTTGCAATTACGTCTCTAGGCTAAAACATAACCATATCAATTATCAGTACCAATCTCTAATTCACCCTTTATTCATTTCATAATCCTTTCATTATAATCATAATTGTATTTCATTTATCCTTAATATAAGTATAAACTTCTATTTCTTGCTTTATTTAAATATTTATTACAATATTTTTACATTTAAGGAGGGCTTTGGATTGATAATATTACAATTACAATCATAATAAAAACCATTGCTTTCTTAAACGGATCTGAAATTTCATCTCAATGTTATTGTAACCTAAATTATAATTGTAGAAATTAAAAATATGAATATTAACCGTTAGCTTTACCCATGTATAAAAATTAAGAATGAGCCATGGAAATATGTAAAATAAGCAAAACTACATTTAGTTCACTGTTCAAAAGTTTTTGAATTGAAAACCCAATCACTATCGACAAGTCTTGAATAAAGTGTTTCATGTCTAACCGAGTTAGAAGTTCGATTTTCACATTTAAAAAGCTCTTGCATCTCTTTTAAGTGATGGTGAGCATAGACTTTTAATAAACTTAAAAATTTGACTTTTAGAATTGACTAAAAGCGATGTAATACAGTGTTAATTTAATGTAAAATATGATAGGCTTAATCTCGATTAATAAAAAATCTAATTCGAAGATACTCATTATATGTAAATACAAGAGTGAGGGTTGGAACCTAATTAAGAACTTTTATTGTGCAAAATGAGGAATTTTAATTAAATTTAGAGGCATAGCGAGCAATTAATGAGTAACTGAGGGACTAATAAGGAATATGAAAAGGTCAGTCAGGCGGACATATGCTGTGCTGGGGTCACGTGTACCCATCTTTCAACAGGCTAGCATCCGGAAAGACGAGTCAAAGGCATCATGGACAAATTTGATACTCGGGCACAGATAATGATAACAAGATGATACAGTTTAAATGATTCCTTCGTTATTATCATATCTTTTTGTTGCCTTTCCCAATTTCCTTTTCAGATCATCCCCATCATCACCTTTCAGTTTTTCTTGTCTGTCTCTCTCTAAATAACAACAATATCTACTTGGAGAAGGGAGCACAAGCAAGCGAGCAGTAACTTTTTTGGATCCTAATTATGCTCTTCACAGCAACAAAACCAATGCTTTTGTTCTTGAAATCAATCATACCATCATCATGTAAGTACGTGAATTTTTTGTTTTAGCATCCCATAATTAATATTACTGCACTTTATTTACCAACACGGTAACAATTCGATACTAGTTATTTTCACTCTGTCTTTCTTATTTTCTATGTTTAAAAAAGATATGCTAGATTGTGAATTTGAGATGGACTTTTTTCCAAAAGAAAAATGTTTTGCTTTCTGTTATCTGTTTGCTTATGAATATCTGATTTTTTCTTATTTTTAGCAAGCATTTATTCATGACTTTAAAAGTGTTGTTTTCAAGCTTTTCTTAATATTTGATTGAATGAGTTGGATTTCTTTTTCAAATACCAACAAATTTTTACTTTAAAAGTAGGATCAGTTTTACCTCAAGTCTGATTGTTTCCCGAGAAAATTTCTTTCACGGGATGAAGCATAAGGTTATTGACAGATTTTGCAATAATTTTTCAAGACTCGCAATCAACTGAATATGACTGATTTGAAATGAACGGCCTGATTTGTTTCTCTTTGTTTGTTTTGTCAAAATTCAAAAACAAATACACTATACTTTTTTTTGTTTTCTTGATTTTCTCGTCAACAAAACCGAGCAGACACGGAAACCCATTATTATTTATCTATTGTAAAGAAGCTTCCTTTGCTTTGAAAAAGTCTTCTAAGATGAAAATACATTCAAAGAGCAAAACTCGGAAAGGCAGGCTTAATTATGCGAAAATACTTTAAAATATATAAGCACCGAAAGTCTAAAATTTCTTCTTCTTCTTCTTCTTTTTATTTTGAAACAGAACCCATTTGTTGAATCCAGAAGACAAACAAGTTGCGAAGGATTTCAGTTTTATAGTTGAATAAGGAGTGTGAAGAGGAGTAGCATTAATAGATAAAAAAAGATGGGTTCTTTCAAGGGTCATGCTTTACCAGGAACGTTGTTTTTATTGGTTGGTGTGTGGCATATATGGAGCTCTTTGGTTAGATATGCATCGAATCCAAAGTCATTTCGTGTCCGGGTTTGGAACCCTGTGCCTGGGTTTGATGGGAAGCTTGAGTACTTAGAGCTTTATCTTGTGGCGGGTGGTGCTTTTATTGATATGTGTATTGAGCTTTTGTACTCTACACACCTCAAGTTTTTTGTCAATGGAGTCTTGAATCCTCATCATATGAATGATTTCGAGCACGGTGGAATGCTTCTCATGTTCTTTATTTTCGGGGTCGTCGGTTTGCTATCAGAGAAAACAAGGTTGGTTAATTTATAATATCAGTGTTTATGGATTGTTTTTACTTTACGATACATTGATTTCATCTATATATATATATATATCTTTTTGAGACCTGGGCAGACGAGGTAAAAGGGGAATTAAAACTTTCATATTTGGATTGGCTTCGTTCAATAATCTGATGCAGAATAGCATAGGACTTCTATTTTTATTTTTTCGGCATAAGAAAATGGTGTCACAAAAGGCAAAATCATATGATTGCTGTGTCTGTAACAAAATTAACATTATTGTTGGCCATACATGACAAAATTGTAAAGGGGTTGGATCGATCTTTACGGTTTACATTTACGTCATCTTTGTTCTGCATGCCCGAAGCTCTGGTCTGTACTCTGCAGCAATCATGATCATACATGTTGAATTGTCCTGAAGTTTGGACAGTCTGAAGTCTTGAACTTTAAAAACAGTACATCCTGCTGGAGGGGGAAAAAGGTCTAGATAGGAGCTTAATTGCACGAGGCAACCAAAAATGCAGAACTACATTGTGAATGCTAGCAATAGTTCGATTACATACCTGAGAAGAGTTACAGTAGATGATAAAGATGCTTTTAAATTGTGTAGGGATCATAAGCTACGGATCATACACTCAACAACTTTACTCCAAAACTTTGTGAATTTCTCATGAAAGTTATGACTTTCACGGTTTTGTTCATGGAATCATGAACACAGAAATACGTTTCCTTGGTAGGTTGTAGTCACAGAAAATGAAATAATTGCCAAAACATGCGTTTAACATTTTCTACACAACTAACTGAGGTACATGGAAGACCACTTTCAACCATACATAAAACAGATTTGCTCTGAATGCACACTTATACACACCAGAAATTTTAATCATGTTATAGTTCTTAAAGAGAGAAAAAATGATGGTTAGTTGAGTTCTCTGAAGGAGTTTTCTTGCTGGTTTAACTGTTTGCTCAGATTTCTACCCTTGCCAGAAGGAGCCCTCTGTTTGCTTGCTGCAGCAGCATTTTCTGCAGAGTATCTACTGTTTTACTTTCACTCAACAACCCATAAAGGTCTTGAAGGGTACTACCATCTCCTCCTTGTCCTCCTGATTGGCCTCTGTGTTTTATCCATTGTCATGGGGGCTCTTCTCCCAACCAGCTTTCCTGTTAATTTATCTAGTGGCATTGCTATAACTCTCCAAGGCCTCTGGTTTTATCAGACTGCCTTCAGTCTCTATGGTCCCATGATGCCAGATGGATGTCAGCTTAAGGGTAATCAGATTGTGTGTCGATCATCGGACAGTCAGGTTCGAGGTGAGCTGCTTGCAAACTTTCAGCTCTTTTCCATGGTCTTTGGTGTCCTAGTTGCAGTTGCGGCCGCATATGGTTTTGCAGCTTCAAGATACGGGCATTCTAATCTTAATGGCTTGCATGTTCATCAAGATGGATTAGACTGAGGTAAAAACAGGTATGTGATCTCACCTCATTTCTACCTCCTTTTATTTATCTGCGATAATTGAACCTTAAGTCCACTGTTTTATCTGCTTAACGACGGATATGGATATTCTGTGAAATGAAAGCTTTCCTATTTCCGCTCTTATAATTTGAAGGAATATTTGTATCTTTCTAATTTACTTGCAACCCTTGAAGGTACGTATCTGTCATTCAGAATCACATCAGTGAAAACTAAGCTGTTATTTATTTATATTAAAAAATAAAAATAAAAATAAAATAGTATTTTTTAATGCAGTGCCAAAATGCTACACAATAAACAGATTTTCTTTGGATAGAAGGTTCTGCTGTTTAATCCGATAACAAGATGTATGCATCTTTCACTGATTAAAGGGATTAATTTTGTGGCTTTACAGGTTTCTAGCGCTAGTGCTACCGGAGGTTTGTATGGTTGGAGGGACTCTAAAAGTACATGGCACGTTTTGAAGCCTTAATATTAGACTTAGAAGGAATCAACGTGAGCATAGTGGTTCCAAGAAAGCACAAGAAGGACCTATTAACTTGAAATTCTTTTTGATAGTTTTACTTTTCCTGCACTTGCTTCAGTTCGTGCATCATTTGATATTGAAAATTCAAGAATAACCTTGTGCAAATTATGTTCAATGTATTGGCCTCCTCCCTTCCTCTTTGCAAGGGGGAGAGAGTGAAAAAATAAGGGGAAAGACAAAGGTTACATCAAAAGTCTACAACATAATGCATGGGATGGTATTACCAATTCAAAAGGCATTTGTCTAGAATCTAAAATTGCAGGATTTATTTTCAATGTCAAAAGTCAAAAGCATTCTGAATTCTTTAACCAAATACAAATGTTATAAACAATTATTGTTCCCAACTAACCCAACAGATCGGGAAATTTTGTTTTGGAAACTAGCCATTCTCGGTGCCAAGTTGGAATCGCTCTCCTGACCCCTAGCATGGGCGCCCATATTCCTAAGCAGGCAACCATGCAAGTAGAGGTTTTATATCTTGGCTTAAGCACCCAATTTGTTTAGGCGCAACACGTATTCAAATATTAAAGTGGCTATTTGAGTAGTGTAATTATTTTTTAGTTTATAATCGAGTAGGTCCATCATGTTGATCAAATCTTGAGTACACTTGATAGATATGTGACAGTGAAATAACAAAAATTTATACCTAAACTAAATTACGAAACTTAACTTTTTCTTTTCCTTCATTGTTTTTGTTGCATCCTCAATTCTCTCATCTCTTTAATCATCAAAATGTTTTTTTTACAACAATTCAATTAAGAATACTCATCCATCGTCGAATTACAAGAAATCAAAATTCTCTCGGACATAAAATCAAAAACTTCCCTACTACGCTCAATAAGCCCACAAACGACCCAAACATTTATGAAGTCATGTTGGACATAAACATAAGACCCAAATATTTTAGTCTTACAACAAATAAGAACCAAAACTCATATATTGAGAAATATGCATACAAAGGAAACAAAGGGTTATACGGTACAAATCCATTAGAAAAAACATAAATAGATAAAAAAGTAGAGGTTGAGGGATAGAGTTTTGGGCCATCAAGTGAGGCTTTGGTGTTTCAACTTGCGTTTGCACCAAGAATGAATATCTCGCAAGATTGCGGTGTTATAAAGCATAATAAAGAGAAGCTTGGAAAAGTGTTTGATATTTATTAGCAGAGGCTTGGAGATAGCTCGGTTCTTGGTTGAAGATGAATTTACTTTTGTTGATCTTTCACACTTGCCAAACGGGATTACTTGGTGAATGCTACCGATAAGGGACATCTTTTATACTTTCGGGAAGAATGAGAACAGGTGGTTGACATTAGAAAAAGCAGTTGAAATTGGTAATCTTTTGCTTGCTTTCGGGTTTTGCGGTGGGTTTGTAACTCGTGGGTTTGCTTTGTGTTTTATGTATGTTTTACGACGGGAAGGGAGGTCTTGGTGGAGGAAGGAGAAGTTTTATAATACTCAAACAATAACCCTATATGTGTCGTGACTATGGTGGAGGATACGGATAGGGTAGCTTATTGTTACGCCTCGCTTAAAAGAGAGGTTTTTTAGAGGTTTTAGAGAACGCTAAATAAGTATAGAAGCTTCTAAAAGAGTATGGAGCAATGGAGAAGCCTCTAGGATGACCAAGATAAATCTAGACATGTTCTACGTAATTCTAGAGAGTCCCTCACTATTTTAACATGTGTATATCTAGATATTTCCTAGAAAATATCTAAACATGTCCTAGAGGATATCTAGATAGTTCCTTATAAATATCTAGATAGGATATTTCTAGAGAATCAATAGTAACCATAAGATCAAATAGATCCTAGCCATTCACCGAGGAGGTGAAAGGCTATAAATAAGTGAGGCCTTCACTTGGCTAAGACACCTAGACTTCTAGAAATCTAATCTTTGAGTTGTAAGCTTTAAAGAGAGCAATACAAAGAGTTCTTATTTCTCTTGTGTTTTTTTTTTTGCTTGACAACATTGTACGAGGAAGGCTGATTTGGTTTGACTTAGAGAAGAAGTGAGCCAAGTGCCGCACGTAAGCTTGGGAAAGGCCAAGTCCGTGACAATTGGTATCGGAGCCGAGTTCTATCAAAGTGTGAGTAAGCTTGTTGCTAGCTAAAGTGTTTAAGGGAGTAAGCATGTCTAACTCCGGTATGGAGGATGTTGATGAGGATGCTAGGAAGGAGACTCTACCTCCTCAACCTAAGAAGGGAAGGGGAAGTCTCATGACGTATTGGTTACCTTGAAGGAGCGACTCGTGAGGGCGGAGGAACACCTTATCGATTTGAAAGAGAGACTCGAGGAGATAGAGGGAGATGATGAAGGGGAGACACTAGACATGGTAGGCCTATATGAGGTGCTCTTCGATCTCCAAGCTCGAGTGAAAATGGTTGACAAGAATGCTAATGAGAACGCTATCGAAAAAGATGCCTTCATGGAATGGATGGAGGAGAGGTTCAAGCAACATCAAGAGTATATGACCGGATATTAGCAAACTCTTGAACAACTTAAAAAAGATTGGGCAAATTGTCGAGAAGTTATCTTGAATGGTGTGGTCTTGAGGGACACACCAAAAGTTGAAGTGCCAAGACCAAGGCATTATGCTAGTAAGTAAGATGTTAAAGAAGTCGATAACTTTTTTTTGACAAGTGGAGCAATATTTTGAGGCAATGGGCTTAATCGAAGATAGAAGTCACATCAAGACCACTACTCTCTACCTTTCGGAGGATGCTCGCTTTATGGTGATGTATGAAGTACACAAAGAGGAAAATCTAGAGTTGCCTAGTTAGGATCAATTCAAAAAAACTATGTATGCTCAATTCTACCCTAAGAAAGCAAATTGAGAAGCATGAGATAAGTTACGAACATTGAAGCATACGAGAACTATTCACAATTATATTTGAGAATATGTTTCTCTTAAACTTCAAGTATATGGCAAACCCGACTATGATCGTATGTATGATTTTATTAAGGAACTTTAATAATGGACACAATAAGAGGTACGAGGTCGAAGACCTAAGACCTTCACCGAAGTTATGGCGATAGCTGAACCCCTAATTGAATATAAAAGAAAGACGGAATCCTCTAAGCCCAAGAAAGACTTCAAGGATAAAGGTGGGGAGTCTACGAAAAGAAGGGGTACAAAGATGAGCAAGACAAAACACACAAATCCAAAGGCTTTGTCAAAGAACATGATAAGAGAGAATTCAAGTCCAATGATTGCTACTTTTGTAATGGACCACATCAATGGAGAGAGTGCCCGAAGCGACAAGCTCTTAATGCCTTGATGGAGGAAAAAGAGTGTGCTCTCAAGTATGAGAAGCATATGGGATCGTTGTAGTTTCTCAATGCCTTGAATGGTAAACCCTCACCTAAGGTGCCATCGAAGGATGGGCTTATGTACATGGATGTGGATGTGAATTGCAAGGCCGCACTTGCCATGCTAGACACGGTTGCCATACATAATTTCATGAATGAGGACGAGGCTAAAAGACTTTATTTGGTGGTACCCAAGTCGTCAAGTAGTATGAAGATGGTGAATGCTTCCCTTAAGCCTATTTGTGGCATAGCACATGAGGTAAGACTTGGCATAGGTGCATGAAAGGGGATGTTGGATTTCACCATTGTCACAATGGATGATTTCAAGATTGTACTAGGCATGGAGTTCTTCAAACAAACAAAAGTCGTGCCTATGCTTCACTTGGAGCAAATGGTGATTATGAAGGAGGAAATACCACGCATGGTGCCAACCAAGGTGTATGCTAGATCGAACTTGAAGTGTCTCTCGGCTATACAAGTAAAGAAGGGCTTTAAGAAAAGAGAAATCACCTACTTGGTAACATTGAGCGAAGACGAGATGGTGGATGATAAAGGTATAGAAATACCCAAAGAGATCACTAATGTGATGGCCGAATTTGATGATGTGATGCCACCGGAGTTGCCTAGAAGTTGCCACCCAAAAGAGAAATTGATCACCAAATAAAGTTGGTGTTGGGTGATAAGCTATCGATCATGGCATCTTATTGTATGGCCCTTCCTAAGTTGGAGGAATTGAGGAAGCGGCTAAAGGTCTGTATTAGAGGCTGGACAAATATAACCTTTCAAGTCACCGCATGGCTCGCATGTGTTATTTTAAAAGAAGCACGATGGATTATTGAGAATGTGCATGAACTATCGAGCGTTGAACAAAGTCACAATAAAAAACAAGTATCTAATTCGTTAATAGCTGATTTATTTGATCGACTGGGAAAAGCTTGGTTACGTACTAAGCTTAATTTGAGATCGAAGAATTATCAAGTTCGAATTACCGTTGAAGATGTGCCAAAGATAGCATACGTGACAAGATATGGTTCTTATGAATTTCTTGTTATGCCACTCGGCTCGACTAACGCCCCAACTACCTTTTGCACCTTAATGAATAAAGTCTTTCAGCTAGTTCTTAGATCGGTTCGTAGTAGTATATCT